CGAGTATTTGACACGCATCAGAAGATGGTCACGCAAGGCGTTTTCTTTCATGAGCTTTTCTGTGACTGAAAAGCCCGATACGTGATGTTATCTGTCTACCGCACTCCAGACATTCAAAAATCTCATTGCTTTGTTGCCTCTTTACTTTTTGGTTGTCGCTGTTAACTGACTTTACAATTCTTCTCCATTCCGTTCTATTGTGAGCTGCCTCTTCCCACTCATTCTGCTTATTAATTCCCTTTAAGTTTTCGTGGAAAATATCCTTGAACCTTTTGAGTTGTCCACCCGGCCTCCTCTTACCGTCTACAAGCTCACCGTAAAGCAGAGATTTTGGTATGCGGTTTTCTTGCATTCTGCATACGTGACCAGCCCATCTTAAGCGGGACTTTGTAATCATGACTTCAATACTCTAGCAGTTAGCTTTTTCAAGGACCGATACGTTTGAGACATGATGGAACCGTTTTATTCTTAAGAGTTGTCTAAGATGTCTCTGTTGCAACTTGTTTAATGCGTTCATGTGTCGGCGGTACGGCACCCAGGTTTCGTTTCCATATAACATGGTGGGAATTATTATTGCTCGGTACACTGCAAGTTTCGTTTTTGTGCTTAAGTCATGGTTGTAGAAAACCCTGTCTTTTAATTTCTAGAATGCTCTTAAGGCACTGCTAATCCTGTGCTGAATTCCAGAGTCGATATTAGCCTTTTCCGAAATCAAACTGCCGAGGTAATTACTAAATGTAAGGTAATTACTAAGCTAATGTGATAAAGGCTGAATTACTACCAGCCATTGCAGGAATTACATCAACATTTTTGGACTAGATGGTCCAGTGAATACATCTCAGAACTTCCGTGTCAACAAAAATTAAGACCATTTAGGCCGTGTTTAGGAGGTCGGAGGTCTATCCTAGTTCCGATGGAGTCGCCCGGATTGCGTCAATTTGAACAAGTCGTGGTGTTATGAAGCGTTCAGTGACAAAGATTTGCCCACTACCGTTGCATTAAAGAAGCGACTTTCGTAGCTTGAGATTACGAGTATACTTATATTGTTAATTTCAAGATTCTTTGTTTGCATTTGAATCTCTTAATGATTTAAATTTCGTTAATGTGAGTTTCTTATTGAAAGATTAAAGGTACATTCAGGCTGAGAGCGTCGTGCATCGCGTCGCGTTTGCGTCGCGCCCGCGCCCGCGTCTTCACGAAATAGAATCAATTCACTGAACTTAAATTAGACCGTTCAGGTAGAAAGAGTTGCGTTTGGAATTTCGCTAGCGTCCGCTGAGCGTCGAGTTCAATCTGAATTGTTTTTCGGCAATATATCTATTTCTAGCTTTCAGTGGTTGTCATGGCGTCTGAGGACCAGCACGCAGAGGTGCTAATCGCCGAAATACAGACAAGACCTGCACTGTGGAATGAAAAATTTGCCTCAATATAAAAATAGGAATCTGCGTGATCGACTACTTGAAGAAATAGCTACAATTCTAGGTACATCTAGTAAGTATATTTTCACAGTACGAGTAAATATATATGAAAGCTTTCGCAATTTCTTTGTATGGGAGGGTATGGGTTTTGTATAGCCGCTAAAAGTATCACAATTGAAAAGAATCAATTAAAGTTGTTTTTAATTCTCCCCTGGTATTAACTAATGGATTGGAATCTCTCAATTTAAAATATAAATGATGAAATTCTCCATGCAGATATCGTCTTCTGTTTATAGGGCGAATCCCTACTTTTTTGTCCATTCTTTTGAATGTAAAATATGGTGTTTCCAATAGTAACATTAGGCAAACTGCTCTCCAATTGAAGCCATTTTACAAGCTGAAAACCTAAAGAACAAGCTCATAAAACGCTTCTAGCCTGAACGACCGGACGCGACGCTCGACGCTCTCAGCCTGAATGTACTTTTACCCTTTCAGGGCGGGGAGTATGTAAATGCAGCCTAATTGGCATTTGAAAAAATTACGGTTGGTTACACTGAGGAGGAGAAGAAGACATAACCTGATATCAAAATATGTAAGGTGATTTTTAAGAATTGTTATGCTTAAAGATAACACAGGTCAACAAAATTTTTTTTTGGGTTTCTGTTCTCATGCTTATATTATGATCCTATTAGAAAATATTCAAAAACTTACCAGTTGCGACTCAAAAAATCCAATACAACATCTGATTGATAACCATGAGACCTTAGACAAGGAAAGAGAAAGGACAAATAAGACGTCTTTTTGCTAATGGCATGCGCTTGTGATCGAAATTCGAGTGGACGCCATTTTAAGGTGGCAAACATTTGTGGTGGCATTAGAGTTTTTTTATGGCTTTGTGCTTTAATTTTGACTGATAGAGTAGAATATTTTTAGTGTTTCACGATGGTTAATTGTTAACGTGTTAACGAAAAAATGTGTTAACGAAAAAAAAAACCGGGAATTACGTTTCATAGGTAAGAATTAAACAGTTGTATTTGTAAGCGACTAATATTTTTTAAAGTTTCTATGCTAAAAGTATATTTTGAAAGTAAACATTTACACGCTATAATATTTATCTCTAAAAGAAGCTACTCAGCCAATTTTAATACCGTTCATTATTGTTTTCATTCATGTTATCTTCATAAGGAAATAAATTATGCTAATCCAAGCAAGGTTTTCCAGTGGCGTGGGTAACTTCTAACCTCATTAAATAGAATACGTGCTAAATGTATACTTCTGACAAAGAGTAGAGAACTTTGCTTCTGATATGTAAGCATAGCACTCTCTATTATTCTATACTTACATTTAGGTTCTAATAATACCTTTTTTTAGATTTCCCAAGGATGTAAAAAGACGTGCTGTTTGGATTAAAAACATGTATTTTGCAGATTGGGAGCCCACTAAAAATGATAAAATTTGCTCAAAGCATTTTAAAGAAAGTTTGTTCTATCGTATTGGGGATAGGACTCGTCTATTGGATGAAGCAATCCCTACCATATTTGAGGCTTTACCAAAATATTTGCAGAAAAAACCTCAAATAAAAAGGGTAAGACCAACTATGTTTCAGTAACGCTGCATTATTGTTATTTATATTTTTTACAATGATTCTTCTATAAATCCGTCTTAACTGAACATCAAGCACTTATATAATTTGATTATTCTAGGCAACAAAACATCTTCGAGAAGAAATTGGTGAACCGTCAACCAGTATGAGAACCGAAGGGAGTGACATCGACCCAGATTTAGAGGATACTCCAAAGAAGAAAAAACTGAGAAGACAATTGTTTGGTTTGGGTGACAGTGTTAGGGTGAGAGTGTTAGACAAAGGGTGAGAGTACAAATAGGGTGAGAGTGTTAGGACAAAAAGTGAAACGCTACAAGAATAAAGTGATATCGTTAAAAGAAGGTATCAAAAAATTAACAGACAATAATCTTTTATCTTTAGAACAATCTAATGTTATTGCTAATTTACCAGGTTAAATTTTACTGATGTTTGTAAGTTTAATTTAAACATAATAATAGATTTAGTATCATTAGTGTTGTTTTATTGTTATTATTATTGTTGTTGTTGTCACTAGCTATATATCATTATATTAGCACACTACTAAATAAGTAAGTTTTATTTTCTAACAGAATTGGTTGTTTCAAAATATGTACTTCAACAAAATCTCTGTTTTCGTAACAAAGATGAGCGAGGCCTGAAATAACATACTCAGCTATATTCTGTACAAAACCCTCTAACGAAATCTATTTTTTTATCTGTAAGGAACAGCTAATTTTAATTTTAAAGTTTATTAGAAAATAACTTTATTATTTGTTGTAAACGTTTGAATATATTTTTAAACTATATCTCATTGTTTTCTTTGAGAAGCTTATAAAAAGGTTAAAATGTACAGGAAGTCTAAAAAATCGAAGTTAAAATAAATAAAACCATTAGTTTTTGCATTTTTTTCCAATAATTATATAATAATTATAAAATTAAAATGCCATATTCTCCAATATATCGATAAAATGATATTTTAAAATCTTTTGTGTCATTATATTGTTAAAGTATACTGCAAATGTTATTATTATTAATAATAGTATAATCAATCTTTAAAATTATTAATAAAAATTGAAATGAAACTGTTTTGTTGGCACATCTTCAATAACGTATTATACCCTTAGGATACGCCTATGGGTCAAGTTGCGTGGTGGCAAACTGTCACAAAATTTCGTTTGTGTTACTCGTCCTTTCTCTTTCCTTATCTAAGCATGAGACTCATGTAACAATATAGAGGTTATGACATATGCCCGGGAATGGCATTATATTGCTTTCCTTTTCTCAGCATTGCAACCGTATGTAACCTTTGTATAAAGGTGTATATGGCTCATTTAAGAATAGAAGGTCTCATTGTTTTCTTCCCCTACGAGATGCGACACATTGAAGTTGGTGGGGAAGCTCCCGGCCAGGGCACCGGAGGGGACACCTCTTGCGCTCTGGCTAGAGAACTGCACCAAGACATAAAAACGATGCCGGACGGGATCTCCTTCGGGACTTAACGTCCGTCATACCGTAAGTCTTTCCTAGGAGAGACATGGGGGCTTTGGCTTTACTGTCTGAGCCGCGTGGATGAGGCACCACTATAAAAAAAACCAAATCCTACGGTATAGTGCGCGCCAAAGGGATGGATGGTCGGGGGGAAACCCGACCACTAGCGACTAACCTGGGATACCGAGCGACCTCCCAGTTCATAAATGCCTAGTCACGGTATTGCGGGGCTCTGCCGTGATGGTCGTTTCTTTCCTTTGCTCGGGTAACAACTGACGCCACGAGGTCTGGCAACACCCAGAGGGAGAGAGCTGGAGGCAATGTAGTGGCACGGAAAAACCCGGCCATGAAAGGGTCTAAAGCTAAACCTTCTGGAGTCTCGGGGAAGCCTGGCAACGCAAGTGGGAACAAACCCACCCGGAAAGGCAGGCGAAATAATGTAGGTTTCCCACCAAAAGGGGACGTAGACCCCCTGATGGTGGGAGCAAAACCTAAATTTGACTACTGCAGGGATGGCTACAGCAGTCAAATGTATACAAAGTAACCTACAACATGCCAAGGCCGCTTCCAACGTCTTTGGCAGAAGGTTCAGGAAGGAAGGTGTACATCTCGCCTTTATTCAGGAAACTTGGGTTAACTCAGGCCGCGTATGTGGCCTTGGGGACGCAGAGGGTAGACTAATTACTGCCCCAAGAGTAACCAGACCTAGGGCATGCATTTTAGTAAAAAAGAGCGTGCACTCTTTTAACCTTTACAGGTTCTGCTGTCAGGATGTGGTGGCGGTGCATGTCCAGATCCCAGCGGGGAGGATCGGTGGTGGAATGGAATTCGTTGCCTGCTCAGCATATTTCCCGGGAGACAAGACAGCAGATCTACCTCCTCCAAAGAAAGTGAGAGAACTAATCTCCTTCTGCAAGAGGAAAAATCTACAGCTGGTGATAGGATGCGACGCCAACGGCCACAACGAGGCATGGGGAAGCACGGACACCAACTTCAGAGGTGAGATAATTCTTAATTATTTAATAGGTGAAGGGTTAGTGGTTAATAACATAGGCTCCGAACCAACCTTTGTTACCTGTAACAGGAAAGAGGTTTTAGACATTACGGTCAGCTCCAGCGACAGGATATCCAAATGGAGGGTATCATCTGAGCCATCGTGCTCGGATCACAGACACATACAGTTTGAAATAAGCGTAGGTGAAAGAACTCTTCTGCAATATAGGGATCCAAAATGCACAGATTGGGAAGGATACAACCGCTCACTCGTGCATCTGCTGGAACCCACAATTGCAAAAGTGAGAGATCGCGATGAGATCGAGATTGCGGCGGAACAACTGCGGTGTGCAATCATAACGGCTTATAGTGAAAACTGTCCACTTAAAACAAAGAAGGATAACAGGAAGTCCTCTTGGTGGAACAACAAACTGGACAAAACAAAGAAGGATAACAGGAAGTCCTCTTGGTGGAACAACAAACTGGACAAAAGAAGAAAAGAAGTGCGACATATCTTTAATCGCGCTAAAGCGTCAGGTAACTGGGAAACCTATCGTACGACGTTGGCGGAGTACAATAAGGAAATAAGAAGGGCGAAGAGAGTCTTGGAGAAGGTTCTGTGGGAGTCTGGTCGATCTACCCCAAAGCACCAGAATTCACAAGATTCTCTCAAAAGAACCACTGAATGAGCTAGGGACGATACAGCGCCCCGAAGGTAATTTCACAGAGTCCAGGAAAGAAACGTTAGAGATTTTGGCCCAAAAACACTTCCCAGGCCGCCTGATTCTAGGTGATGAAGAACGACCTCCCCCAATACTCATGAGTCGCAAAGTAATCACCTATAGGGAGACTAAGGGGGCGATCGAAAGTTTTGATCCATTTAAATCTCCAGGAGAGGACGGGGTGTTCCCGGTCTTATTGCAGAAGGCTGAGAGCATTATCGTCCCTCGCTGAGTAAGGATCTTTAGGGCAAGTCTGGCGTGGTCACACATGCCAGCGGATTGGACGAGAGCAAAGGTGGTATACATACCGAAGGTGGGGAAACAAAACCTACAACCTAGCTCATATCGACCAATAAGCCTTACATCATTTCTGCTGAAGACCCTGGAAAAGGTGTTGGATGGGCATATTAGGGGAAGGATCCTTATATCTAATCCCCTGAATGTCCGACAATATGCCTATCAGCAGGGCTGGCCCTCAATCAACAGAACTGGCCCTCAACAATTTGGTGGGGGAAATTAAGAACACCTTTGATCGCAAGGAAATTGAGGTAGGGATTTTCTTAGACATTGAGGGAGCATTTAACAATGTTACCCCTCAATCGCTCCTAGGCGCTGTAAAAGCCCGAGGAGTCGAAGCAACCATAACTGAATGGATTGAGCAAATGCTCAAAAATCGAATAGCAACGACCTCGCTCAGCGGTGAGTCCGTCAGGTTTGTTCCGGGCAGGGAATGCCCGCAAGGAGGAGTTCTCTCTCCTCTTCTGTGGACCCTGTTAGCGGATGACCTGATGGCAATCATCGATGCATACGAGGTTGAAGCACAGGCATACGCGGACGACCTGGTAATCCTAGTAAAAGGACACAAAGAGGAGGACATCTCCTCAAAAATACAGGGAGTCTTAGATGCAATTCACAGCTGGTGCACACTGGAACAATTAAGTGTAAACCCACAAAAAACCGTGATCATACCATTCACCAGAAGAAGGAAAACAGACAAACTAAAACCGCCCACTCTTCTTGGTGAGACAATTCCGTTTGTGCACGAAGTTGAGTAACTAGGATTAAACCTGGACAAAAAACTTAACTGGAACTCCCATCTGGAAAAAATATCAAAAAAGGCTTGCTCTATGGGCATGCCGCCGAATTTGTGGTAGAAACTGGGGATTCAATCCCAAAAATATGTACTGGCTATACGTGACAGCCATCAGACCTATTATCACGCATGGCGCAGTTGCCTGGTGGCAGAAAGCCAACCAAACAACGGCAAAGAATAAACTGTTAAAATTACAACGACAAGCATGCTTAGCGGTGACTGGTGCCTTTCATTCTACGCCGTCAAAAGCTATGGAAACCCTATTCGACTTACCTCCTCTTCAAATTATTATTTTGGCCAATAAATTCCGGGGTATTAACCGACAACAATTTTCTGAGATCGTTTGCTAGAAATCGTGAGCATCCAGCAATTAAATCTGACGTTGAAAATTCTTTAGTGAATATAGAACGCACCTTGAGACGCACTGAATCTAGTGAATCAACTGCTCCACTACCAACTCCAGCAGTACCCGAACGCGAAGAAAATACTGAAGAAATAACAATGATAAGAGAGTTATTATGTGATATTGTCGATAAAGCAACTGAGCTAAAGATATCTGTAGTTAGCTTAAGATTGTATCTAAAAACAAAATAAAACTAGTAGAAACTCCTAGAAACTGCATTCTAAAACATACTCCTGTATGTTTTAAAAAAGATACAGAACGGTCTGCTAGAAAATACATACGTGCTCTATACTAAAGTGTGATGTCCAAAAACAATTAAAATAATATTTTAATATGTGTTATTGTGTTTTGTCCAGTTTTAACAATTTTTAATTCTGTAGGAATCTACGTTCAAGAGACTTGAAAAAGACATATACTGTCGAAACGTCGTCATAAAAATAAAATAATGAACAAAATCTAGTAACATATTTGCAACCCCAACGACCAAAAGCCAAGAATAAAAAGAAAAAAAAATATATAGTATACATGTCAAAGAAACGAAACAAAAAAAAATATTATGATATTAACGCCAGGATTAATCTATGATATTAAGGCCATGATTGTAAAGGAATTTCAATTAGTGATTCCCCTTAAAATGCTGTATAATAAATGCATACAGCATGGTATCTTTCCTGATTGCTTCAAAATAAGTAGAGTAGTTCCTTTGTTCAAGCAAGGGGATATAAATTCATTAGAAAACTATAGACACTGAAAATATTTGAGGTATTCTTAAAAAATCAGATTGAACAATACTTTGATAGCCATTTACTTTTAAACGATAACCAGTTTGACTTTAGGCAGGGCAGATCAGCGGTTGATGCCGTCTCTAAAGTAGGGGAGATGGTGGTCGGGGGTCTTGAGCGGAACGAGGACGTTAGTATAACGCTATGCGATCTGAGCAAGGCCTTTGATTGCTTCTCTTATAAACTGCTTTTAAAAAAGTTCTACAAGTATGGTATTAGGGGAACTGACTTCAACCTAATTGAATCGTATTTAACAGGTCGGCATCAAATGGTCGTAGTTGAAGCAGAAAGTTCCTCTAATTTACCAATAAACAGCGGTGTTCCACAGGAGTCCGACTTTTGGGTCCATTGATGTTTACTGTATACATGAATGATTTGTTTGACTATGTCCAGCCTTCTGACTGTTATTGCTATTGTGATGATACGTCATTAGGCTGTCTTGTCGAAAATATTGATGCATTGCAGGAAATAATACCTGTTGTAACCAACACAGCGAAAGTTTGGTTTACACAAAATAACCTAAAACTTAACTTGAACAAAACTCAAAATATTATTTTCTCAACGAAACTCCATACAAAGAACGACAAGACAGTAAAGTTACTGGGTATTACTTTGAGTGGTGGGTCAAGTTGAGATCCCCACATAACATCAGTAGCAAATAAACTCTCCTCGGCATTATTCATCTTAAGACAGTTTATTATGCTCTTTTCACAATTCACATATTTACTTATGGCATACATACATATATGGGGAAACTCGTCGTACGCAATAAAATATTTCATATGCAAAAAAAGCGGTCCGAACCATGGTTCGTGCTGGCTACAGGGACCACTGTAAACCTTTTTTTAAAAAATTGAAACTGTTAACTTTACCATCTTTATATATCTTAGGTCAACTTATGGAAATTCATAAAAATAAAAATAATTTCCATATTAATTCGAGCTATCATGACTATTGCACAAGGTCAGAAGAACTTATTAGGCCTACCAAGTTCAGACTAGAAATTTCAAAAAAAAATCTTTAGATTTTGATTTATATAATGCCCTGCCTCTGGCAATCAAAAATCTAGGTGATAAAAAAATCAAAATTAATATAAAGGAACTATTGATTGCTGAGGCATTTTATTCAGGCGAGGAATACAAAATATTTTTTAAAAATAAATAGAGTAAGTAATCCTCTGTTATGGAGTTTGTGATATTGGTAGAATTGTCTTTTGTATTTTACTTTACTTAATGTGTTAAACTGGTATTATTTATAATCTATGTAAAACTTGACATGCTACAATTTTATTTTGTTTACAAAACGTAGTCAAATAAAATAAAATAAAAATAATAAAACAAAATAAAATAATAACATTTGTCCGAATCCGCCCAACACATGTCCAAATCTGCCCCATTGTTTGTCCGGAGCTGTCTCACCACGGGATAGGTCCGGACAAATGGACGAATTTAAAAAATAAGTAAGATGATGTATCAACACTGTCAGTAAAGTTAACAAAAATAAAATTTTGGTAGGGTGAAAGCACCTATTGTCGGCCACTTAAGGGCACTTACCGGTTTTCGGCCACCCGCCATATTTGTCGGACATTATAAGACGGTCTTATATTAGATAAGTATTTAATGAAGATGCAGAAGATGTATTTAACAACATACTAAAATTAGAACATAATGAAACGACTGTAATAATAATACATTTAGTAATGAATAATTTAATTTGGGGCAAAGACTATCCGATAAATTTTATGGTAATTCTGCCAACCGAATGACCAATTAAATATGATTCCAGTATTCAAATTACATTAATTGACTGTTTGCGTTGAATAATAATAATTTGTCCAAATACTAAAAAACGAATTTTGTATATGTATTAGACAGTGTGGTAAAAAGTAACACATTAAAAATTTTATTTTATTTTTTGACGAATGCTTATTTATAACAACATAGAGGTTTATTCTGATAACTTATTATTATATTGATTTCTGATTCAAATCCACATTTATTTAGAATAATATATTAACTAATACAATTAAGTAGGTAATTAATTAATATTTGGGTGGAGGTAATGGTGGTATATTTAATTAATGGTATACTCTTTTATAATGATTTAAATACTTTTCTTTTTATATACAAATGGGCTAGTAATGTTATTGCTTTTAGCAACTGTATATTGTGTACATTTGTTGCTTTAAAAACAATCTCAAATCTCAATATTCCATGGGTATATTAACAAATGAGGTCTAAATTATAAGAAAATGTATTTTTTACGAAAACTTGAAGGGATAGATAAAAAATGGTATAATACAATTTGATAGACAATTAAATTGCGCATTTGATTCTCCTAAAATATCAGGGGTTAATTTACCAAGTTATTGCCGTTTAAAGAAGCTAGAAATTATTTAAAATAAATTTTTAGACACTCTGTATGAGGTAGTATTATTTTTATTATTGCAACACAATAACTGATCAATAAATAAACTTCAGTAAATATTTAGTAGGTATTAAAAACTTTGATACCATTGGAGGAATGAAGCCTTAAAAGTTTTACTGCAATTCCACAAAATTGAAAATATTTCAAAAACGGTAAGGTTTAAGTGTGATAAACCTTAATCAAATTTACCTTTATTTTAATCGTAGAAACTAAAAATGTAATAATATACAGGATGTTGCGTTTAAAAAAATAAAACTTTGAT